GAAGTCTCGAGACAAACAGAGTGAGCCTCAGCGCGAGCTTGTATTCTGTATTCTGCTAACTTGCTGCAATTCTCTCTGATCACGCAGTACCTTACCGCGGGAAGAAAAAATCTTCGGTCTGTCCAATGACTGTAAAGTCATTAGGTCCGTCAGACTTAAGATATTTTAGCGGTAATGAGACCAAAATAATTAAGACCCATCGAATCCGAATTTAAGACTTTTTAAGACTTTTTAAGGCCTTATATTAGGAAAACGTTATTTAAGACATTTTAAGACTTTTTAAGGACCCGCGGACTGTGTGAAAGCAGTCAGTGCTGCTTCCCCTCTCACAAGAGTCACCAAAGAGGGGAATCCCCCCCCAAAGAGGGGAATCCCCACCCCCCCCCTTTCAAAAATTAAATTCAGGCCCTGAATAAATGTCTAAAAATCCTGATTGGAGTATCAATATAAATAGTTATAAATGATAAAAAAAAGGCGGCTTTAAAAAGATCAGTATCAGTGATTGGTATCGGCAGATACTGCTTTCCGTGATCGGCGATCGGCCTCAAAAACCCTGATCGGAGCACCCGATATAAGTATATATAAATACACACACATACATGTATATATTTAAAAAACTATTTGTATGTATATATATTCATACTTGTATATAATTTATATTATATATAAATATATTTCATATATTAATCCATCATATTTTTCCTTAATATATACATGCATGTGTATTTATATATACATAATAAATATACACAGTACACACACATATAGTATGTAAACAAACTTTTATTTTGAATGAGATTATTCGCGATTAATCATTTTACAGCCCTACAAAGCAAATTTTCAGATAATTATTAGAACATAGAGAAGACCTACCTTTTGGCATTTGTTCGTGAGTTTCTATGAGACATAAAGGTGAGGGTCCTATGAAGTAACATTGGCTGTGAAAGAGCAAAAAAAAAAAACTAAAATCAAGTACAAACAGACCTGACATTAATATAAATTCAGTGTTAAGCCTTATGTATTTATCTATAAAGGTATACATACAGCTATTAGGTTCCTTGTTCGTAGGAATCTGTATATTTGAGTAGGCTCTGAAGAGAAAACGCAGAAGTATTAACAAAAACATACTATTCTAAAGTTTCAAAGTGAAAACAACTTTTGTCTGTTGCTTTTAAACCCCTTCATGTACAATAAACTAGAGGGTTTTAAGTAACTGTTTGCAAAATTAGTTATTACTTAGTGATAGTAATGAAAAACAGCATCATGTTAAAAAAACAGCCACAAAGCTAAATCCAAGGACTCCCCATACCTAACGGCAATAACAGCAGACCAGAGATCTTTGTCATGACAAAGAATTGTGACAGATGTGAGTGTGTTAATATATTTTCCCAAAGGCCAAAAGATACAGATAATAGTTTTACTATGGTGTGCTAAATTAAGTCAGATATACTCACTTTCAAAGGCCTGCAGGAAGAGCTCATGGTCGGCCTGCAGCTGCTCCATCTTGGGCTTCTTTATGGAGCTCACGGCAGAGGATGGGTATACAGCACCATTGACTTTACAGTTCATCACCTGAGCCGAGTATTTCTGAGGAGCCATCATAAACTAACAACCACCCAAAACTTCACACCAAAACAACACCAGGCGAAATAAATATCTGCACATTAATGACAGACAGCTGCCCTCGCTCCTTTAACCAGCCCTCTACCATCACGTAAACATCAGATATTGGTGGTCACCAGTCTCTGTGACTAGTACATGTTTTAATATGACTCATATGAGTTGTAAATATGTTCTTGATGTGTGTCCTCAGTCTGGTCACTGATCCTCAACAGATGAAAATTAGCACGTTAGTTTGCGGTTCTTCACAGCGACGAAAACACAGTTGAACGGCACCGGGTTATCCGTCCATACAGGCAGCCGTTCACGTACCGGATTAAATAAACGACTTGGTTTATTAAATATCTGTTATTTGCGACCGAAATTGCGTTTACTTTGAAAGGGAAAATCATACCAAGTGATGGATATCGGTAGAACTGTATCGCCCGAGCCCTTGAGGAAAGTGCCGTGAGAACCCGCCCAACAATGTGGCAGCCAATCGGAGACGTCGTCTGGTGACATCGAGGGTTTCTATTGGCTTGACTCACCTTGATAGACGCGAGATTAAGATTGGTAGAGAAGACAAATTGCCGCCAAGAATGTTTTGGTTCTGGGAAGAGAGAGAACGCGGGGAAGAATAGCGCATATTGCGAGCTCTGTTTAGCTACTTATCTATTGTAAATCATCATTTCAAATAAAAATACTGATGAAAATATGTACCCGAAATAATATTTGTATGGTCTACATTTCAAACGAATGATGGAGTGAAAACGGTTGAAAACTGTTGGCCCTAGCCACTCCACAAAGTTTCGCAATTCAGGAAAACTTGTCTAATTATTAATGCTCTAAATTATGATATTTCGCTAAAACAAACAGGTTTAGACTATAGCAATAAATATCAAGGATCCATCAATCGAGTGCAGAATTCCCATCGGAGATATTTTCTGATGAGCAACCGGATGTAGAGCACATGACAACTTCCCGTCCCCACGTGTGTAGGGATGTGAAGCAAGTCAGGTTTCGTATGATGGGAAAATTCCACATTCACAAAGCAAGATGCCTTAATTTTAAACCTAATTGTAAAATATTCACTTCTGATTTACTTTTGTTTTACTCATCACTTCAAAAAATCTCCTCTAATAAAAAAGCCTTAAAAACATCCAATCTTATAAAAAAAATCATAAATAAGTTGTAACTTTTATGATTGTAAAATAATTGTATATTTGTTTACCTTTTAATTGTTTTTGTATCCCCCATGTGTTTATGCATATGTTTATGTTCCTGTTCTAATAAAAAAAAAAAGAAAAAAAAAAGAACACACTAGCAACAACATAATTGTTAAAAACAAGCAGATCTGTAGTAAAGTGTCTGTGCTGTCTTATTATGATTGTCAGTTATTTAAATCTGTTCTTATCTTTCAGTTAGGGCACAAAGTCTCAGCTCAGCAAGGTTTTGTCATCTATGTTAGCTATCCATCCTGACAAACCAGGTAAGCTTTTATTAAAAAAATTAATTTTAGTTTTAGCTGGTTTGTCCAAAAGATTTATTGTTCTATATAGCATTCATATTCGTTTACTTTAGAAGGTGTTAGAAATTTCAAAGCAGATGGCCAGAAATAAAATAATTTCATAATGTTTGCAGCTTTGTGGATAATGGCTGCTAAGTGTGAAATGGAGGACAGGAACTCTTCAGAGAGTGCCCGGCATCTCTTCCTCCATGCCTTGCGCTTTCATCTTGAGAATAAGAAAGTCTTTCAGGAGGTGAGAAGACACTGGCATCTCTTTGAGTTGGCCTGAAACAACTAATAAAACATTAAATTCTAAACAGTCCACACTGATGTTCATGTAATAATATTTTATTATTAATTTGTGTTCATGCACAGTATTTCCGGATGGAGCTCTTGCATGCTGAGAAACTGAGGAAACAGCAGCAGGAGTTGGAACAAGCTAAAATATATGTGGTAGGGGTTATAGGTGTAGATCTGGGTATTTTCTAATTTTTGCTAATTAAAAAGCTAGCAACAAAACATGTTTTCTCAATTTAGGGGGAAGACGGAAATCTTGAGTGGAAAACTTGCTGAGGTGGTGTACAGAGATGCTGCACAAAAAATTAAAGGTCAGTTAAACTTGAATTAAATTTTCACAGAACTATTCAACTCAACAGGTTGTATTAGCAGAGTGCTGTACATTTATTTATCTGCTGTTTCTGATCAGGGGCTGAATTCATCTTGTCGCTGCTACAGATTGCTGCCATCTTTGACTTCACAAAGGAGCTACAGGACACCATCCTGCAAGAGTACAGAGTTTTTTGCTTATTTCTGAGATTGGACGATTTAAGCATACACATTTCTTATTGTTTTTTTTCTTAGTTTTTAGATGATCACCTTAATTGACTGATTTGTCATTTTTGTTGAATAATCAGCAATAAAAATGCTGTAGGAGCTATTATAAATGAACAGATTAACACTGAAACCAGTATTGGGGAAAATGCATGTACAGGAAGTCATGAAAAAGTGATATTTGAATAATGTTTGTGTTCAGTCTGCAGAGTCAGTATGTTGATGACTGCACGATGTGGGATTTCATGGCTAAGCGAGAGCTGGATGCTGCTGGGGCCCCGGAGCTCCAGTCTGCGAAAGGAAGAGCTTCTGATACAGATCGCAGAGAAGAACGTTGCTGTGTCGTTTATGAGGAGGCACTAAAGAGCCTTAATACAGGTATCATGATTCAACATGTTCAGTATTTGCATCTAAGAATACTAAGCTTGAATTCAGTGGTGGAATATGAGTGGATTCTCATGGTCTCATTTGCCTACATTTAAATTTACATTTAGACATTTAGCAGATGCTTTTATCCAAAGTGACTTACAAATGAGGACAATGGAAGCAATCAAAATCAACAAAAGAGCAATGATATGCAAGTGCTATAACAAGTCTCAGTTAGCTTAATGCAGTACATGTAGCAAGGTTGTTGTTTTTTTTAAATCATATAATCAATAAAAAGAAAACAGATAGAATAGAAAAAGAATAGAGCAAGCTAGTGTTAGAGGCCTTTTTTGCTTTTGTTAATCAGAAGTAGTCAAAGTCAGAATTATAATTGTATAATAAATAAAAAGAAAACAAATAGAATGCAAAAAGATTAGAGAAGGAAGTGTTATTTTAATTTTTATTTTAAAGAAAACAAGCAGTTAGTAAATAAATAGTGCAAGTCTAAAAAGGGCAAGTTTTTTTTATTATTTTTTTTATAAAGAGTAGAATTAGAATAGAGAGTGCTAGAGTTAGAGGGTCAAATAAAGATGGAAGAGATGTTTTTTTATAGCCAATTCTTGAAGATGGATAAGGACTCAACTGCTCGGACTGTGTTGGGCAGGTCATTCCACCAGGAGGGAACATTTAATTTAAAAGTCAGTGAAAGTGATTTTGTGCCTCTTTGGGATGGCACAATAAAGCGCTGTTCACTTGCAGAACGCAAGCTTCTAGAGGGCACATAAGTCTGAAGTAATGCATTTAGGTAAAGTGTTGCTGAGCCAGTGGTGGTTTTGTAGGCAAACATTAATGCCTTGAATTTTATGCGAACTGATGTGTAATTTATTTTTGTAGAGGCCATGTGGACATGTTATGTCACATTCTGTCTTGAGAGATATAAGAGGAAGACAAACGTCACTCAACTCAAGGAAAAGGTGATAAACCTGTTTTTTGTTTTTTTGTCTTGATCAGAATAGCATAGTAGGACTTACTGTATTTGGGAAGTTTGATTTCTTATATTAAACCATATTTACAAAAAAGGTGGCAACTTTTATAACCTGAATATTAGGCATCTTCCCCCTGCAAATTAAAGGCATATGGAACATTAGTTATGTTTAACAATTGGTTATGTCATCAAGCTAAACAATAGCCAAAGCTAAAAGATCTCACCCGTTACCATTGAAATCTGTGTCTCATCTTAAGTTAGTTTTATTTTATATATTTTTAAATAGTTTATTAATACCAAGCTCTGTTCAAATTCAAAATCAAGTTTTGTTTTGTTTTTTCTCAGTTTTATTATCTGTCTGCGGATACTAATACTAACATTTTTGCTTTCTTATAGAAAAGTGTATTTGTTGATTTATTGGTTTCTGGGTGATTTTAATCTAAGTCAGATTGACACATATTGTTTGACTGTTAATTTTTTCAGAGAAGGGAACGATTACTCAGAGTCTTACAGAATACTCATGATGCCAAGCTTTTGCAAGAGACATTCTACAAGAACTGGGTAATGTTCACTGTTAACATTGGAATCTCATTGCAAAATCTCCTTCCTTACACACCTTATGCAGCACTTGATTAAAATGGTGCTGCTGTAGTAATATAGGCCACTTTCTATCACCTCAAAAAACAGCTACAGGTCCTGTTGACGTCAGGGGATACAGTATCTGCTACCCAGGTCGCCATCACAGCCACCCAGCGCTTCAGCCAATCAGTGGAGATGTGGAGCTTCAGCCTCCAGACATTGGTCCATCTGGAGAGCACAGAGGCGGGACATCTATTCCAGGAAGCCCTGAAACACGTGAATCCCAAGGTAGCAGTTGTGCCACAGCTGCCTCTAAGTGGGACATCTTCTAACAGCAGATTTGCCCTAATTTGTCCACTTGAACAAATGAACTACTTCTGAAGGCTTTTCTTTAAAAAAATATTTTAATAATAATTGGATAACAGTTCTATAGTTACATTTATCTGTTCTGACTCTGGCACACTTTTCAAAACCTTTTCTTCTCTTCTTTGTCCTCCTCCACCCCCTCCTTCATCAACTCATACTGCTAATGATTTTGCAATATTCTTCATAAATAAAACAAGGACCATCAGCGACCAGTTCTCCACACCACAAACTGACAAAAACTTCATAACCATAAATACTTATTCTTTCGCCTCCTTCTCTCCACTCTCTGAGGCAGACGTTTCTAAACTTATCTTTTCCAATCATCCTACTACCTGTCAGCTTGATCCTATCCTCACTCACCTCCTTCAGGCCATTTCTTCTTCAGTTATACCTGCGCTCACTCACATTATCAACACCTGTCTTCACTCTGGTACATTTCCCACAGCATTCAAGCAGGCTCGGGTAACCCCACTGCTTAAGAAAACCTCTCTAAATCCAGCACTTTTAGAAAACTACAGACCGATATCCCTTCTTCCGTTAATTGCAAAGACACTTGAGCGAGTTGTATTCAACCAACTATCTGTTTCTTGCACAGAACAACCTCATGGACAGCAACCAATCTGGCTTCAAAAGCGGCCACTCAACTGAGACTGCACTGCTCTTGGTTACTGAAGCCCTGAGACTGGCAAGAGCAGCTTCCAAATCCTCAGTACTCATCTTGCTGGATCTGTCTGCTGCTTTTGACCCAGTTAACCACCAGATCCTCATGTCCAACCTCATGAAGATGGGCATCTCAGGAACCGCACTCCAGTGGTTCAAGTCTAACCTCTCTGGTAGTTCCTTCAGGGTGTCTTGGAGGGGTGAGGTTTCTAAGTCACAACTTCTTGCTACTGGGGTTCCTCAAGGCTCAGTGCTTGGACCACTTCTTTTCTCCATCTACATGTCATCTTTAGGATCCGTCATTCAGAAGCATGGCTTTTCATATCATTGCTATGCTGATGACACTCAACTCTACTTCTCATTTCAACCAAATGATCCGACAGTAGCTGTTCGCATTGCAGCCTGTCTGACAGACATTTCTGGCTGGATGAAGGATCATCACCTTCAACTCAACATTGCTAAGACAGAACTGCTCGTGGTCTCAGCAAACCCAGCACTTCATCACAACTTCTCTATACAGCTAGGTTTGTCAACCATAACTCTTTCCAGGGCAGCTAGGAACCTTGGAGTTGTGATTGATGATCAGTTAACCTTCACAGATCATTGCTACAATGGCCCGATCCTGCAGATCTGTCTTATACAACATTAGGAAGATTAGACCCTTCCTATCAGAGCAGGCCACACAACTCCTTGTTCAAGCTCTTGTTCTCTCCAGACTGGACTATTGTAATGCCCTCTTGGCGGGCCTTCCGGCTTGTACTATCATACCTCTGCAACCGATCCAGAATGCAGCAACGAAATTGGTCTTTCACAAGCTG